GGCTATGGTCGAGGCATTCTGTGCTTCGCCCGAGTTTCTCGACGAGCTTGTTCCCGCGGCGGTCCAATACTTTGATTATGCTTGCGATACGTGGGAGCAAGCCGTGACTAAGCCTGACTTCTCGGGGAAAATCGACCGGAAGGCCGTGAAGCTAACTCTCCCCGACCCTGTCGGTTACCAGGAGGCAGTTCTTCCCCCCGGCCATGCGTGGTGGAGTGGCCTTGCGGCCAAGGCCATTCATTCAGCTGAGCTATCTTCTCAGCTTGAGGTCCCCCCACTTCCCTTGGTCGGCCCAGTTGAGTTGGTCGAGCCGAGTGGTGCGGACTACGAAGAAGAGCCGGTCGATGAGGAGATTGAAGTCGAGCAGCCTGATACGGATCCGGTTGGGGAAGGGGAAGGCGCTCGGACCGAGCCGATTGGCGATGAAGGCGGGGAGGCCGCTGGGAAGTCGACAGCCGACTCCCAGAAGGCTTAGATTTTTTTTTTATTTTTTTTTTCTGTTTTAGTTTTAGTATTTATGTTTCTGTTTGTACTTTCATTTTTTTCTTTTTTTCTTTTTTTTACCCTCTCATCCTATTTTTATAATGTAAAGGTTGAGATGGTTTCAGATGTAATGAATTTCCTTCTAATATAATGCTTATTGCGCTGCTTTTATATTTTGTCGTCTTCTCTTGGCTGTAGCTTTTTATTTAATTGTTTGGTTCTTTAATTTCGTCTTACTGTCTTCTCCCAACCCATTTTGTGAGCTGGTCGAAGTCGAGCAACAGTTTCGATAGCTTCATAGCTGTTGAACTAAGTTTTTCGAGTCGTCTTCTTCCAACCCATCGTGCGAGATGGTCGAAGTCGAGCAACAATTTTGACAGCTTCATAGCTGTTGAACTAAAAGAAATTTTTTAATCATCTTCTCCCAACCCTTCTTGCGAGCTCGACAGCTTCGTAGCTGTTGAACCAATTTTTTCGAGTCGTCTTCTCCCAACCCATCTTGCGAGCTGGATTAAGTCGAGCAATGATTTAGACAGCTTCGTAGCTGTTGAACCAATTTTTTCGAGTCGTCTTCTCCCAACCCATCTTGCGAGCTGGTCGACGTCGAGCAACAGTTTCGACAGCTTCATAGCTGTTGAACCAATTTTTTTGAGTCGTCTTCTCCCAACCCATCTTGCGAGCTGGTCGAAGTCGAGCAACAGTTTCGACAGCTTCATAGCTGTTGAACCAATTTTTTCGAGTCGTCTTCTCCCAACCCCTCTTGCGAGCTGGTTGAAGTCGAGCAATGATTTCAACAGCTTCGTAGCTGTTGAACTAATTTTTTCGAGTCGTCTTCTCCCAACCCTTCTTGCGAGCTGGTCGAAGTCGAGCAATTATTTCGACAGCTTCGTAGCTGTTGACCATTTTTTTGCTGATGGATTGAGTCGGCTATATAGCCGTTTCGAAAAATTCGATATACCCCGTTAGTCGTGTTGAATCGATGCGAAAAGTGGACGATTGTTACTTCTTCTCGACTTTGGGATATCTAATTTTTCCTTGGTTACACATCATGCCTCGCTTATTTGGCCCGAACATTCTTCATTAATGACCATTTTTTTAGATAGGTCTGACAAATTTCAAATTTCAACAACTCCTATGATTGACGCGCGTCATGTCAATCGCTAACTCCTCGTATTATGTGTCTCATCCGGATCGTTGGTTTCTTTGTCAATCTAACGGCTAACATCTATCCTCATCTTTTATAAATATGGTTAAACTTTTACTCTAAACACTTTTCCTCTCTTCTAAATTTTTTCTGCAACTCCGGCGGCCTAGCAATCCGAGTATTTCCGGTGACTTTGTCTGCAGCACCGGCGCCTCAATCAATTTTCAAGTGATCATGAGTAACATGGGTAAGTACTTACTCTTTCTACCACTCCATTCCTTCTTCTTTTCTTATTTTTCTGGGTTTCTGGGTTTTTCTGCATCCTTGTGTGTTCTTCGTGTTCTTTGTGTTCTCCGAATAGAGTTGAAAATTTTTTATGTTGAATCTTGTTGTGCGTATTCTATGTTCTGACTAACTGTTAGCGTGTAGCTGGGTTATAGCGTGTGACCGCTTGTCGGCTTTATCGTGTCGATTTTTATCGACATTCGCTTTCTTCTTTCTTGTACCTTCCTCGGGTTGGCCTCATGTCGGCTTGTTGTCATGTTTTCAACGAATCATATCATATCGTTTTCTCATTCTTTCGTATTTTTTTCGACTTAGATGAGTCGATTGTGCTTTGCTTGATTTCGTTTCGTGGTAACTGATCCTTGCTTTCGATTGTTTTTCTTCTAGCTTCCAATTCCGGCTCTTCGCCTGACACACATGACAAATTGATCGATATGGGCCTCGACCAATCTGACTCAGGCTCAGTCAAGATAGTCGGTTATAGGATGGTTAACGCTTCTCCTTCTTCCTCGCGCGCTTCTACCCCAAAGGTCGACTGGGCTGAATATGACCATGCACTATTAGATGGTGGCTTAGTAGAGGTTTCAAGAAGTCCCCGGGGAGATTCTCCTTGTCTCGACTTGATTCCTCGAGGTATTCCCCTTAAGTTATTAGATATTCCTGTATATAGCACCTGTCCTGTACCCATATCAATAACTACTCCTCTCGTCGACCCTCGAGAGGTTGTATCCATAGCCTGCCCTCTGGCCAAATTGGCTACTTTAAATCCTTTTTCTTATGACTCTATGGCTAAAATCGAGAGCTTTAGGCAATTTAGCGGGCTTCCCTCCGATTGGGAGTTAGTTGCTCCAGGCCCTGACAGCGATTTCACCTGTCCTCCGCAGGGCTGTCATCCTTTTTTTGTCGACCAAGTCAGTTTTGGTCTCCGCTTTCCTATTCAAGTCGAGCTTTTGGAGATAAGCGATCTGTATAGTATCCCAATAAATCAATTCTCCCCAAACGCTCTGTGTATTATGATAGCCTTTATCGTTGTTTCTTGCATAGTTCTTCGTTTTTTCTCAGCCGAATTTTTCCATTATTGTTATAGCTACCGACTCCAAAAAGGGGCCCACTGCTTAATTTGCCGCTCCGGCGTCACTTTCCTCGACGACCTTTCCTCGAATATCACAGAATGGAAGTCAAAATTTGTATTTATCCATCCCCCCGTCGGTGCTTATCCTTATGTAAATAATTGGATAAGCACGAAGGTTAAACAGATGAAACGGTCTCGTTCCGAGAATTTCGAAAAGCTCTTGGAAGAACTGAATAAACATACTTATAGTGTCCGTCGTATAATAAGAGATCGTGAATTAGTCAATCACACTCGAATCGTTCTGTATGATGATCTTTCCCGGCTTGATGATCCTTGTAAGCTTTTT